AAAATAAGGAAGCAATCGGAATATTTCGGATGTTGAATTTGAACTGTATACCTACCTTACAGCCCTTACTAGTCCATTCCTTTCCGTTCCAATACAAACAGTTAAACTGCTGAGTACTTAGAGTGTAGTTCATGTCAGCATCTGGATTGTAAGTCGGTATAATTGTGATGTTCTCAGGTTTAGGGGCCTCTTTAGGCTCAACGCACGATCGCTTCTGACGTCCATGACCGAAACAAGATCGCTTTTTGCGTGATTTGGACTTGGATGGATCCCATAAAAGCCCTACAAAATATATACCTGAAATAATACGGAGAAAGTACAAAAAGGTTAAGAGACAGTCGATGGCCATGGAACTCGAGAGAGAAAATCTACCTTTTTCTTTTAGCACTTTTGCTGATATGAAGACTTGAGTTTCGTTCTTCTTGCAAGCTTCAGRTAACGCTGTTCCGCAAGCAGGCAAATCAGAAATACTTGAACTAAAGTCTGAATTTTCTAATGTTGGCTTCTCTCCTCGACGAACCAGTATTTTAACTGTTTCTGATTTCTTTTCTAGTGTTACCTGCAAGAACAAATCACCAATTCAACGTTTTGGAATCGTGAAAATTCTATACAGGCTTTAATTTATATTCCTTATTTTTTTATATATATCGGATTTTTGTTTTATTGAACACGTATCTCTTTATCACTTTGCCAAAAAAAAAGAAACAAGAAATCTCCCCAAACAGCTGGCAGTCGAATTTGCCAGAATTCGGCGAGTCAATCACTATCATTATCACTCAGACCAGAGGTACAAATCCTGTAGTATCTAGCCGCACTTTTTGAAATTACTTGTGATTTGCTGGCTATAAAATAGTAGGTGTTTATTGTTTATATATGTCTCTTTTGTTTCACCATCGATTTTAATTTTTTGGGCCAGCTGCTATCTGCCCCTAAAAATCTACCTTACGCAAATGTTAATCAKGATTTAGTCAACTGCTGTCATTAGGAAACAACAGTGCAATTTTTTTKGTATTAAACTTACTGTTAAAAGGAGTGCCATCCCAGGGTATTCAATGTTGTATTTGTAATTGCGAATGCTGTTTGTCTTCAGAAATGATTGTTGAGTATTTGTTGCATTAGGAACTTGGTGCACAATTGTGATATCAATGTTCTTAACGAGATCTTTCACAATAATTTCTTTGCTTTGATCGTTTCTTAAAACYAAGCTTGTCACGCTGGATTTAATGTTATCGGCAGACTTGTCCCACGTGAATGGGTTGAATTTTGTCACTGTGACCTGTGAGAAACAAGAAGGAAATGAAGAAACTCGGGGTTGTTTCTGTAAACAGTTCGTCATRGTGTTCTTGAATTTTATTAATATGCCCTGATAGTTGGCGAGACCTTGGACYATACCATACCATTAAAATTGAATATATCCTGATCACCATGCTTTTCACTTTCCAATTMAAACACTGGAGCTCTGAAAAATTCAGTCTCACAAGAACWTTACCTGACTATCTACAAACTTGGAGCTTTTGGCCTCATTTCCCAGAGATTCTTTCGAAGGCAACTCGAAGCTGCTTCCACCTTCTTCCAGCTTTGTTCCTTTTAGCTTATCAGGMGATTGTCTGCTCAAGACCAATGATAGCGACGATGTCTGGACCAAACTTGGCTTCTCACCCACTACTTTGCGTTTGAGAAGGCTCTCGCCAATTGTGTTTACGAGTTCTGTTGATGTTTCAGTTACTTCAACGCTCTTTACAAAGGAATAAAATTTGCAGTGAGTGGTTTGTTCTCATGGTGTAAGCTACATTACGTGATAAATGAGCGTTTCGAATTTGAAGTCTCGTTTGAAAGGGGATGCCTAGAGTTTCCCAACATTGCTAGTTTAGATGTGGTCACAGCACAAGGAGAGTTTCAGTGCATTCCACYTCATCCCCCAAAAGCTGATCCGGCAATTTGTCAAGGGGATGTCTCCACTTAAGAAATGTATACTATTTTCCACCAWATTACATCCAACGGTGAGAAAGCTTAGTAGATCATTAATTGGTAGGAGTGATTATATGAAAAGTGCAATATTAGTTTTAAATAATGGTGTCATAGATTATTATAAATATATTAGAAACTTGGTATAAAAAGGCGTAAACAAAGAATCATTTCTGGATACCTTCTTACTGTCTTTCTGGTCAGTGTTGGAAAATTGGGCTTTTGAAGACGATGACCTCATGAGGTTTCCCAGACATAGTGCAAGATTTTCTCCGCCAGCGTCTATCAAACCGTCTTCAGAAGCACTAGTGTCCTGTGATTTCCTAGCTAGAAGCGTCGTCATTCCACCTAAAGCTTTGATCGCCTCAGCCTTTGTAAGAAATAAAGAAGTATCGACTGGACCTTTATCTAAATAGTTCTAAGTACAGTAGATTTGCAGGGTGCGAAAAAAAAAATACCACGGAATAATGCGCATTCCTATATATATTTGGGAAAATTGGAAACTTTCTTTTTTCAGACTTATTCCTGTTCAACTTCTGCTTAATTTATTACTTTGCTTAGTTTATTACTTTGCCTACTTTGCCCAATTCATTTATTCATGAYCTTAACTGATATAATACAAAYAATGGCTATTTTTGGGCATGCRTACTTATATGGACGGGGAAGTGCAAAAATTCACGCGGCACTTCGGGAAAGAGCATTTGAGAACATAATGGCTGTGAGTGGATTGGGATAAATTTTGTCATTGGCTTTTCGTTACTGTTTCGGATTTCGCTTCTTTTTAAAATGTCTTAAAAGCCAGAGCTGGAATAGAATGGAAATATTCAGATTGAGTGCGRTTCAATCGCACTTCCGACTATGCATCCGCTTCCAACTTATCTTAAAACAAAGCTTTGGTCGCAACTTTTAAYGTATAAATAAGTATACAAACCTCCAGGGAAGACGAAACCTCTTTAGGATTCCTTGTCCCCCGACCGATGACCGAGGTGACTTGTGTCAGGGTTTGAAGGTTGTTYGCTTGAACATTAGTAACCTTATTGACAATATCGTTGATAATCTAAAAAAAAATCCAAAAATCAGGTTTTGAAATCCGGCTTCATCTTTACATGATATCAGGGGACCGAGGCAAAATGGCGCCATCCACTGAGCATGTGGTTCAATTTGAACAATCTGTCGATGTTTTCAACATCCCATATATGTAAAAATAAAAAAAAATTGAAAAAAAATTGAAAAAATGCGTCGCGTCGTATTGCGGCAAGTTGTGCGTGCTTTTCAATCTCGTCCAATCTTCATCATTGGTTTGAACTATTATACTTTATTATTATAGCGCTATATATAACAATATCCTAAATTCAAAAAAGTCGATTAATACCTTCGATTTTTCTTCGGTGTCTAATTTATCTTCTATAGCGAACATGGTATCCAACGCGGCATTGGCGAACTGTGTGGCGTGCTTGACATCACCAGACTTCAACAAGTTGTCGATTTCATCTGTAGACTTGTTGAGGGTTTCTTTAAGGACTTTTTCATTGTTCAAGGAAGTGTCGAGTTTAACCTATAACGCCATTACAACATTAAATATTATAACAAAATTTTAAAAGGATTGCTTTTCAGTATAGGTATATAGTATAGCTTCATAAGGGTGCAACATAATTCCACTCACTCTCCCCTAAGCGATGGGAAAAGGACCAGGGAATGATATAATTGCTCCATTTCTTCTGTCACCCAACATGGCGGGCTACATACCGTAACTTTATTAGGAGATTTCTCAAAAGCKAACAGGGAGTCGATGATATRCACATAAATGGTTATTTGATTTCCGGTTTCGGTTCCAACTGGTAGTTTGGTAGTGGCGCTTGGATTTGGTCCATATGAAATGACACTTGAAAGGCCAGGAGCTGGTTTGTAGAAGAACTCGTATTGTAGTGGAAGGTTTTTGTCTTTCCAGTCCTTAAATCATACATGAAAATAGCTATTTTAAATCTGATGAAGRAGAATCGATAGATTAACATGTTGCATTCTACCTTCGACATACCTTGCAAGTTATTGTGAAGTCTGTCTTCAAAGCAATACCAGTAGTCGGTGACACATCACATGTTCCACCGTGCGGTTTTCTATTCGTTTCGAATATGTACGAAGAGATACCWTCACTAATTTTTGGACTGCTGGCAGTAACTGTTAGCTGATACCTTTCACCAGGAACAAGTTTATCCTCCTTGATTACAGCATCAGGATTGTCAATTGTTGTTGATAACATGTTKGAAAAATTGGGAACAGTTTCCCATGAAGAAGGTCCTTTTGACTTTGTTAAGCTCCAGGTATATTTAAGAGGAAGATTGCACGTCAACGCTGGTTTGGTGCATTTGGAGACAACTTTTAATCGGGATGAAGGATTTATTAAAGGTCCGCAGTTAATAAGACAGCTGCGAATAGCATAGATTAGCTTCATTAATTAGTCATTATTAGTCTTATCAATTAAGCTTGCATTCATGCTGCAAATGCAATTCTAAAAATGTCTAAAAATGCGATTCTAAAAATGTCTTGGAGAAATATTTTTTGATTTTTWGACATCTTTTTTAAAGACATCAATAGTTGTTATTATTTACTTTGTGAGCTGAGAATTTGGCAATTGTTTTCCCATTTCCCATTTTGGTGATTAGAATGTATTATTTTTCRTCATGATACATGAATAAAGATAGGGCAACAAAACTAAAGAATTATTCTCCWCAAGGGACTAAATCGGGACAATAATTGTTTGGTCTACTGAGACTTACGCTGGCTAGACAAAAAAAAGATTCTTCATTAGCAAGCCTAAGGAAAATAGTGGCTTACAAGACCGTTTTGAAGTGTTGCTCAAATGAATAGCAATTTATACTAGGTTGAGTCCTTACGTTATTGAGAGTTGTGGCGGATCTCCTTTGACTATTTCCATTTCTTGCTCGAATGAATCCTTCCTACCTCCTGATGTAACCTCTAGTTTAATGGTATACGATTTTCCAACTTGCATTTGCGATGTACTGATCTTAACTATACGATCTGTTTGGCTTAATTTTCCGATACCAGTGTCAAAACATCCSCCATTACTGGTTGGTGGATCGGTTTTTATAGTGGGTAAGGGACCCGGCGGAAATTGTTCGCTTTTCTTCTTGCACAACCATGTGAATGTCATTCCCGTGTAATCCCCARTTGGTAGATCGGGATCCCTTGAAGCTGATGCGTCTAGGGTGACCGGTCCAAGAGATCCACGCGTGACCTTAGAGCCTCCTACGATCTGTGCAACAATTTTTGACTGCACAATCGAGAGGTACTTTATGTCAGAGCCCGTTACATTATTTTTGGTCATCCTGACCTGTGGAATGAAGAAAGCAAATAATGATCAGAAGATTATGGTGATGACTATGATTGATAATGATGATGATTAAAGTGATAATATTCTTTAAACAATTCATCCTTCAAAAGGAGCTATTTGTGAAAAAAAACTCGTGTTGACAATTTTTGGTTTAGATATTGCAAGATCTATGAGTCATCATTTCTCCTCAGCTCTAGAATATTTGATAAGAGTGCTTACAATAGGTGAACTACAAGGAAACACGCTTGATCTCTGTGACTCTGAGCCCAGTTTTGTGGCTTACGCACAACAAGAAAGTACTGTCCAATGACAAGAGTGCTTATACATGGGCAAGTGCTAAAGTAAACAAGATCTTCCTGAACAKAAAACTAGTGCTGTAACAATCAAACAGCATCGACCTATTTCAACATCTCATAAAAAACTTTAAATGCTCGAGGTGTAGATCATTAACGAGCTGCGTGATTCCATGAAAKGCTGAAAGGATTGCAAGAMGAAGCGTGACARTGATGATGTTAACAATGACATGAAGTATTCTAGGTATTATTGCAAGCATTACCTCCAACATTACCATGTGTGTACCAAATTCAAGTCTACGCTCCGTCATCGTCCATTCTGATGTTCCATTGACATTTACAGTCAATGCTGAACCGACGACAGAGTATCTTCCACCGCTGTCTCCCTTCAATTTCCACACTTTCCATTTAAAGWCTGCCTTTGAGTCGTTGCACAATAGTTTTATCACGGACTGCACGATATAAGCTTGTGACCTCTTTATTKCGGTGGACTTAGATGGAGCTGGACCAAGGTTCGTGATCTCGACAGTGGGTGCCATGCATTTTGGATCGTCTGTGAATGAAACGTAGTATATTCCTTAATCACGTTATAATGGTTGCAGATGGACAGACAAGGGTTTAGCTGGGACAAAACTTTTACATGCTGTTTCGAAATAAGTTCCAGAGKTATTCAATTTTACTCCAGAAAACCAAAAAAAAAAAAGAAATAATCCAAACTTTCATGATTCTAAAGCTGTTCGCAATTAAGCTATCACATGAAGTGACCAATACTGCCGCCATCTTGTTTTCCTTTTTTTGAAGAAAATATGGGATGCCCTGTGGGCATAAATTCCATCAAATGCCAATACATTTGGATGTTGTCCGCGTCCAAAAAAGTCGAAACTATAGTAATTTTCGTACGTCAAATATCTCAATTTCGGTATTCTTGTTGAATCGCGATGCACAGAGAACTGAAAGCAAGTTTCCATGGAAACAAACGTATTACATCGTGTATTCCATGAAGCCTCGTTTTGAGTCCTTTTTTGAGTGCTAATCAACCAAAATATCGAAAATGGGTTATTCTATAATCATGATAATTGCGAGATTATTCAAGGTCTAATTTTTTGCCGWKTCAYTGTCATTTTCATTGTCGTATCACCATTGTRATTACCTTTATATCCGATGGAGAAGTCATTTTTATCCACTGMCAATGGGCCAATATAGCCTGAGTTTATTTTGTCCTTCACAATGTTTTCGACTTTTGACACTGAATTGTCGTCTTGTTTGTACACTTCAATATTGGCTGTTACTTGCACACTACCTGGTCTAGTATTTATATTACGAAAATATGAGTTGATTAACCAATTCCATAGAGGTCTAAAATTCCAGTYCTTAGTACCACAATATGGTTAAATTAGCGAGGGTTTTTTCGGACATATACCAAATAGTTTTCCAGTTAACCAGTAATTCTGCTTGTGCAAATGGCACAAGTTTATCTCATTCACTGAAAATKTCTGGAAAATATGGAATGCCAATGGCACAGGGAAACCATTTACCGGAAGGCCAAAAGCAGAAATACCCAAATATGAAGATTGTTCGTGATAAACTGGAATCCCCTCGYGAATTGTGCGATTTTGTRAGAATTGTGCACGATAKTCAATGGYCGTTTCCCCTAAAGACGYATTMGAGAAGTGGCTCATGGTTTTGATGAAACAAAGAGCAMGATGGCGGATATCTCATAAAACCTCAAAATGTTTGTAAAGTGTCCGTTTGTCCGTTGCAGAGAATGATTTGGAGTATACATTAGTTTGTATTCATCTTATTYGGTGCACTTCCTAAGCGTTTKCGAAAACCAACGACGTTAAATTTGCAAAGAAACCTCATCCTTTGTAGGTTTTCTAAGATGTCCGCCATTTTGATACATCAATACCATGATGCACTTCGCCAAAACATGACGTCACTATTGRAAACGACAATAAYGWGGTCAGTAATGATATATTATAGCTATACTACCTAAACTCTTCCACGGCAACTGACTTTATTAGGTTTTGTAGAATATTCTTAAGCTGAAAAGAGAATTTTTCTCTATGAGACATCATAAAGACAAACTTAACAGCACACAAGTATAGTTTTGCGGGGCTTTGACATGAGTTCATTCATTCATTCTCTCGTGTTGCTTACTCAGGAAATTTTACTTTTTCATWAGAATGGGAACCCTACCAGAACCGATTATATTTGAGTGTATTGGTGCACGAGCAAATGAACTTTACCACGTGAGAAATTTGTCCGTCCAGTGATTTGAAATCATTTGAGCTTTTATTTAGAAAACCTGATTTAAATGTTTTAGCGGTCAGCTTGAAGACAGCTTGTAGAATAACAACTGYGAAGAAAAAAGAGSCTTGTTTAGCACACRTCAGTGTCTCMGTTCTTTTTAAYATGCTTTTCGACGCTATGCAAATARCGTCAAAAATATAYATGCATTTGAATAAGAATTCTGGCATTAGAAAASTGTCAAGATTTATTCCTAGCTTATATCCTTGGAAAGCTGTCAATTAAATCAAATCTCCAGTATTTTTGTAAAGCATAGAAACATTGTTATCATTCATTATTATTATTTTCAAAAAGTCAGCATTTTGATGCAAATATGCGCCAAGAAAATATAGATCCTCTAGATATTTCACAATATATACAAAACCGATACTCACCCCCATAACTGCTCGTTGGCYTGGCAGTTGTAGAGGATGAGACGTTAATGCTTGCTGGAGGAGTGGTGAAGTTACCTGATGGTTCAAGCGTAATCACTACAACTATGTCATTGATAGTAGGGCAGAAGGGAAAGCACTTGGTGGGGCAGTTATTGTATTACCTGATGGTAAGTCTCATCGTGACAATTGTGGCATTTATTGGTGAGGAAAGTTAAATTGCTAGGTAGTGCCAGTAGTTAAAATATTTGGTGCGGAGCAGTTTTTACATTACCTCATAGTTCAAGTGTAATAATGGTGGAGTGGTGATTTGAAGGGTAGTTGTGATAGAGCAGAATTGAAACTACTTGATGCAAAGCATTCATTACATTACCTGATATTTCAAGTGTGATAATGGGATGAGGCCTGTTTATTTAGTTGTGAAATTGCTAAGTAAGGCAGTAGTGAAACTACTTGATGCAGAGCATTCATTACATATATTACCTGGTATTTCAAGTGTGATAATGGTGGAATGGTGCTTGGCGGAATAGTTGTGAAATTGCATGGTATGGCAGTGGTAAAACTACTTTCAGGTGTAGTTGTGAAATTCCTTGGTGGAGAAGTGGGAAAATTATTTGGTTTGCCAGTTATAAGATTAAATAATGATTTAATTTTTTTTAGTTTTAAATATTGTCTATTTGTTGTTTTGTGGAATGGTTCAGTAATCATATTGCTTGGTTCAAGTGTGCAAGGGACTGTCGTGACGTTCCATGCATATGCACACAGCTGTGACGTATCTTGTGAAGGCAGTTGTGAAATTACCTTGCGGTTCATGTGTAATCGTAGAGRCTGTGAAATTGCTTGGTAATACAGGTGCAACCGGGGCAGTAGTAGCGTTCCCATAGCGAGGGACAGTTGTTGGAACCGCTGTGACGTTCCCTGGTGGGRCAGTGGTGAAATTGTTTGCTGGTTCAATAGTAACCGGGGAAGTCGTGGCGTTCTCAAAGCTAGGGACAGTTCTTGGAAACTTTTTGACGTTACTTGAAGGGGCAGTKGTGAAATTGTCTGGTTGTTCAACGGTKACTGGGGCAGTCGTGGMGTTCCCATAGCGAGGGACAGTTGTCGGAACCGCTGTAACGTTACCTGGTGGGGCACTGGTGAAATTGTTTGGTGGTTCCACAGTAACCGGAACAGTCGTCGCATTACCAAATCTCGGGACGGTTTTTGGATCCTTTTTGACCTTATCTGGAAGTGTAGTCGTGAAATTGTTTGGTGGTTCAACAGTGACCGAGGGCGTCGTAGAGTCCCCATAGCTCAGGACAGTTGTTGGAGCTGCTTTGATGTTACTTGGTGATGTATTAGTTAAATTGTTTGGTGGTTCAAAAGCAAAAGAGGGAGTCGTAGAGTCCTCATTGCTAGGGACAGTTGTTGGAGCTGCTTTGATGTTACTTGGTGATGTAGTAGTTAAATTGTTTGGTGGTTCAAGAGCAAAAGAGGGAGTCGTAGAGTACCCATAGCTAGGGGCAGTTGTTTGGGTGGCTGTAACGTTGGTTGTTGGTGATAAGTTTACATTGTTTGTTGCGGCATTTGTAACATTACTTGGTGGCTCAAGTGTAACCGGGGCAGTTGTTGTGGCATTATCATAGCTAAGGATTGTTGTTGGAGCGGATGTCACATTGCCTGGAGAGGCAGTGACATTGTTTGGTGGAGCTGTGTGTAATGAACTATTTAGATTTATAATKCAAAGGTGTTGGAGTACAAATTCGAAATAATGACTAGATGTCAATAGATTATTTTATGTTATTTACGATTTAACAAGTTAGCAAATCCTTTAATCATTTATAACTGATGGAGCCTGTTTAGAAAATTTTCAACTGATGCATTTTTTTTCAGATTTTATATTCTGTAGGGAGACCAGAGATGACAGGGGGTGGACTCTTTTGATCCTTCTTTGGTAGGGCAATTAAATGATTTACCTGCTGTTGGTAGGGTTGTTGCTGGGGCTGCTGTTGTGGCGTTGCTTGCGGGGGCTGTTGTTGGTGCTGATGTGACGTTGCTTGGTGGTGGAGCAACCGTGACGTTGCTTGAAGAGGCTGTTGTTGGGGCTGCTGTTGTGACGTCGCTTGAAGAGGCTGTTGTTGGTGCTTCTGTGACGTTGCTTGGTGGTGGAGCAACCGTGACGTTGCTTGAAGAGGCTGTTGTTGGGGCTGCTGT